GCCCAGGTCTGCATTCCCGGGCCTCCCAAGGCCTCCTGCACTTCCTAACGCACCTCATGATCCACTTCCTGCCCTTCAGGGTCCTATGAGCCTGCTCCCCGTTCCCCTATTGGGTCCCTGCTGGCCTTGGGCCTGCTTCCCACTCCACTGGGCCCCAAAACCTCCTTGCTTACCTTTTATAGATCTCCAGAGTTCAGGAGGTTGGGTTAAGGTAAGGAGGGCAGGCCTTTATGTTGTTGAGCCACATGGTATAATCCTGGAAGCTATTTTCCAAGAAGCTGAAGCTGAAAAATGGGGCCGTTTCTAGAATTGAACCCTGTGGGCCAACAACAAAATTGCTTGCTTTGTGTTGGTAATGTAAGCTCTTGGCATTCCACAGTGTCAGAACGCAGCAGAACTCCCATTAGTGAAGCAAAGCAAGGCATTCTATTGTTGGGCTGCATGGTGCACCTCCATTTTCTGAACGGCCACAATTCACTGCAGCCTGGTAGTTGCTTCCATTTCTCCCAATGAGGGAAAGAAGGCAAAGTGATCATGGAAATATAATTCCATTAAGATCGTAAGAACTGCAGTTCATGTTTGCAGCTTGAAGCAGCAGAAGAAAAATATTTTCCATAATATGAAAAGTAGGCTGTTCATTCACACAAGAAGAACATATTTACATGATGTTGTCTGGTGGTAGAGCTAGGGAGATAGGAGGTTCCCCTCCCTCTGTGGATACAGCAAGGGGGAAAAGAACAGTTCTTTATTAACTCATTCTTCCCTAACCTGATGCCCTTGGAAGAGATAGGACTAACTCCCAGAAGTCCAGCTGCCAGGAAGGGGAGGGAGATTGACTACATCCAAGCCTGCCAATTTGAGGAAGAAAGACTAATCCAATTTGAGGAAGACTGGGGACTAGATCTAAGAAGTCTGCAGAGGTTTCCAGTATTTTTACATTATTATTATTATTATTATTATTATTATTATTATTATTAGTTAATCTTTAGTGAGATTAAGCTGTTCCGAGTAAGGTGGTGGTGGTGGTGGTGGTGGTGGTGGTGGTTGTTATTATTAATTAAATTTCTACTCTTCCCATCTTAAATAAGTGATTCTGGATGGTTTACAGCAACATAATAAAACCAGAAGCCTAAATGGTTAACGAGGTAGTCAAGCCACTGCCACCTCCAGGGTGGCATCATAATCTTAGACTAACATAAAAAGAACAGCCTTTTCTTCTTTCAGATGCAATCTGTTTCTGAATGTAAAATTCTGCTTGGTTCTGATGGTAATGAATGCCAGTATATTAAACTTCCATAACTTTAATCAGACCTTCTTTTCTCTTATACTTGCATTTGTAGCTGCGGATTCTGATCATTCCCCCAAACAGCAGACCAGTGAAGATGAAACTTCCGAGGAAGAAGAGAAAGATGATGGGAAGGAACCCAACTTTGTGATGAAGAGATGATGGTCTTGCTGCTGCTCTACTGTAGTTAATAGCCAGCTAGCATTGAGCTAAAACTGAATTGAACAAGAGGGGTTTTCTGCTCTTTTGGACTTCATTGTGGCACTGTTGATATGGCCATAACAGTCCCATGGAATATCATTGCTGGATCCAAATCTAATGAAAGTTGATTTCAAACTTTCTTGTATAACTGCTGTGCAGGGTTTCAGGGAAAAGTGTCAGCATCATGTAACTCTAATTCCTCTGCTATTGCTCCAAAGTGACATTTCTTCATCAGCTTATGTCTGTAAGCAGATCTTCTCCTGAGAGACTTAAATATACAAAATGGAAAATGTGGCTGGAAAATGGACTTGACTTTGAGGCAGGAAATAGTCTCTATTTCCTGGAGGAAAAAAAGTTAATTTTTTGAGGAGTCTCTATTAAATTAGCCTTTATTCCTTGCATTTCTGCTGCAAGATAAGATTTCCCAACAACTAAGAAGATCTAGTGTTTCACTTCAAAAGTGTGTTGTTCATTTTTATTATAAACATTTCTGAATAAAAGAGGACATCCAAGTGTTTTTGTTTTCCTGCCTCTGAAGGATACACACTGTGCATTTGGACTTTTCATCCATGAATTTGCCTGCCAAAAACATAAAGCCATTTAAGATAAATAGATCTTCCATATTCACTGCACTATACATTTGAGCACCGTTAAGTAACAGTTCATGAGTTTCCTAGGGTTATTTGGCTGATCAGTGTGGGAAAAAAGATACTCAAACATTTCATTCTCAGTTTTTAATTTTGGTATAATCTTTAAATGGGTCTTCCGTCTTGAAATACAATTGCCACATTCCTATACAGTGGTAAATCAACTATGTTTATATACATGGTCTGCCACAGTGGTGAAATCCTATTTTTTTTACTACCGGTTCTGTGGGCATGGCTTGGTGGGTGTGGTGTGGCAGGGGAAGGATACTGCAAAATCTCCATTCCCACCCCACTCCTGGGGGAAGGATATTGCAAAATCTCCATTCCCATCCCACCCTGGGGTCACCTGGAGGTGGTATTTGTCAGTTCTCCAAACTCAAAATTTCCGCTACTGATTCTCCAGAACCTGCTGGATTTCATCCCTGGTCTGCCAAAATCAAAAATTGTGTTTTCACCTATTGTGTGAATTTTGCAGCTGAAGCCTATGCAAAAATAGGAACGTCTCTGACTCCCATTTTACTTGATTTGTCTACAAAATTGTAATATAAAAAAGTGATACTGATAAAAAAGTCTAATAAAGACTTTAACTTTGCAACAGAACACGTCCTAGTATAATTGATTCCTGTCTGATGAAATTGTTTTGTGACTCAGGTGTGTGTTGGTGAAGAAACTGATTACCAGGAAGTTAAAATCCTTTCTGCATTGAAGAGAGAAATCAAATGCCTTTCTGCAACCTTCAGTTTATAGGCCAACTATGCCTAAGTTGAATGTTGGTTATAGTTTGTATATAAATAAATCTGTTCAAGCCAGAACTGGGTTCCTTTGAGACAGAATTAGCTATGAACCTTTAGGGACAGGTTCTGTGGAAAAAGCAAAATAAATGGTATTACTTGGGAACAGAGATCTTTGGGGACCAATTCATCCCAATTTTAGAATAGTTGTGCATTGCTCCAAAAAAATAAGACTGTGTGTTGTTGAAATTGGATTAAATAAATGTTGACTGGTTTGAGGGAGGGAATGTTATTGATTCAGGACTAATTTTAGGTCAGAGTCCATTTTTTAAATTCAAAATGAGACCGTTTCCCATATGCTCCGATTAATATAAGGCCCGTATCTTTAGAAAGCAAGTGGCAAACCACCACTTTTCTGAGAAAAAGGGACAGAGAATTTGCTGGTTAAGGCAGTGAAGGGGGAAAAAAACCTGCCTGTCCACTGAGAAAAAGGACAGATAATCGAAAAACTCAAAAATATTCAGGTCCAACTGGTGAAAAGAACCGGCTGAAAACGAACTTATTTCCCAGTTTAATTATATCTATATATCTATATCTATAAATCTATCTAAATCTAAATCTATGTATGTATGTATGTATGTATGTATGTGCAATGCAGAGTTAGAGTGTGAGGCCCCTTTGGCCATCTCATTCCCCCGAACGGTTCAGCGGGAGAAAAGTCTTAAGCCGGAGAAGGAAAAGCGAGCGAATCCCTCCGTCACATGTTTGCTACTATCGCGAGGTCACGTGACAAGGCCTTGCCGTTGCCTTGGCAGCACCGCAGGCGACGACACTGGCGTTCCTGCAGCCGCCGCCGCCGCCGCAGCTGCCCGTCGTCCATGGGGTAAGTCGGCGGGGGGGCTGGTGGAGGTGGGTGCCTACTTTGCATATTCGCATATTCATAGGTGCACAAAGAGGTAGGTAAGAGCGGGTGGGAGGCTCTGTCCGTCACGACGCAAAAAAAAAAAGCGAGGCTTTGGCAAGGCGTGGGAGGGTTCGGAAGAGCTTCCTCCCCTTTGCACCGAGGTCCTCCTGTTCGCTGGACACGTTTAACCAGCTGAAGCAAAGGCTTGGCAGGCGGCAAAATGTGCTGAAACTTGGATGAGCATTGAGCCTGCTTCTGTGTTTCCTGGCTTAGTGGGTGCCGCGAATCCAGAACCCACTTGTGTTCAGTGTATTGTGTGGACAGAGGTTAACCTAGAAACCGTGTTTTGCAAACGGAGTCATAAAATCTGAACTGTAAGCTTGTATCTAGAGGTCGGCCTGCAAGGAACGTTATTTCTACTGTAATGCAACAAATAATTTGATAAATAAAATTTGATAAATAATTGATAACAAAGTACTGTAAAATTATTATTTTTTTAATAAACTGCCTTGCCTGCAAGAATCTACATACCGATAGATATCACAACCGCCTACTTTACTTTCTGGGAATACTTTTCACTGCCTCCACAATTTGTTAATAAGTAAAGGCATTTCCACAGTATTATTAATCTGCTATTGAATTCATTTTCTGGGCTTGCTGAAGACAGTTAAGTAGACTGGATTTACTTTTACAGAAGATATTAAAGTACTGGGAACTTAACAAAAGTTAACACTCACCAAACTTAATATATGGTGCAAATATAGCTGTAGCTCTTTAAAAGATGGGGTGCAGGGGAGAAGTTACATTGTAGTGTTATAGTGGATTCCTGCATTAGGCAGAGGGTTGGACTAGATGATCACTAATGTCCCTTTCAACCCTTATCTCCCATAATTCTATAAAACCATTCTACTCCCCAAAATCTTAAATATATACTGTATGTTTGCAGGAGTAGAGGAACACAGTTTGTGTATTTTGTGGCAGCAATCCAATTTTTCCTGTCTTGATTGTGTGTTTTGAAGGATTCAGATCAAATTCTTTTCAACCCTATGGGAAAAAGTGGGTTTGAATTTGACAGGGCTCTGGCTTATTGCCAACATACTGCCATTTACTTCCACCTCCGACTTCACCATAAAGTTGTAAGCTTCTGTTTTGGTTTATCTAATCTCTAAGACTGCATTGCTGTATACATATGAACATATTTTTCTGTCATTTCTAAGGGCCAGCAATATACCGTGCTCTTTTATAAAGTTTTATAGGGAAAAGGAGCGGTCCATATATATGCTAAAAGCTTACTATCTGAAATTGGCAATGAGGAAGCAATATTGAGTGGGGAATGTTAAGAATATTCAGCATTTGCAGTAGGAGCCAGCTGAGGGCCAGCATCAAAAATGGACTTGAAAGAAAGAAGCAGCTCCCAGTGGCAGGAAGTATCTGGAGTGAGTATCTTTTAAAAGCTAGAAGCACAGGAGCCCCTCTCTTCGTGGTATAGGGTGTGCACGCGCGTGTGCCTGGAAGATCTCAGATCAGCCCAACACAATGCAGATGTGAGCTCCGTTTGAGAATTATGGATTTCAATAGGTAAGTGTTTAATACTTAAGATGAGATGCTCAGATATTTTCTGCTGAAATCTCTAAAAATCATGTTTTAGCTGGATCAGGCTGCCCCCAAAAGGTTTCTGATAAAATATATTGGGCGATATTAGCTGCTGAGAGAGGATGGAGTAGTTATCCAATCCAGATTGGGGAAAGCTGCTGTAATTTTAATGGAAAAGAATATATTTTCTGGCGGGTGTGCATGGAATATGTGCATGTATATGTGTGTCTGTGCATATGTTTTCTCTATCTTTTACTGAGTATGTACCGTATTATTAGTCTTCCAATTCAACTTCAACATGTGCTTGTAAGCATTGCATTAAATATTCTCTCTCTCTCTCTCTTTGTTTTCTTGTTTGCTGGCTTTTGGATGGCATAAAAGTGAGAGAATAGCCATGAGATTTATTCCTAGGCAGGTCAGTATAGACTTAGGATGCCTGATTTGTAAGGCACATCATATTTTCTGCATGAAATCAGCATGTTGTGAGAATGTTTGCACACAAGCAAGATGCCCCACCCAGAAGTGCTCTGGTATTGACAGAATAAGGAGTCCAACGCAAGAATTTACAACACAGGGACAGATAGCTAAAAGCAGAAGGTAATATTAATCACAATAACTCCACCAGGGAAAGGTGGAAACAGAAGAATCTATTTGTCACTTGATTATTTGCATCTGTCTAGTGGAGTAATTTCCATAGCTATATGTGGGCAGCATATTGATTGGTGTATTCCTAGCAAGAAAAAACAGTGCTCCGTTTCAGATTGATTGATTATGTGCCATCGTCCATGGTGACTCCTGGCGACCGCATAGATTTTCTCCATGACAGTCTTCCCTAACCTGGTCTTTCAAGTCTCCCAATGGAGCACTCATCACCATTGTAATTGAGTCCACCCACATTGCTGCTGGTCGTTGTCTTATTCTCTTTCCTTCCACCTTTCTCAGCCTCGGAGCCTTCTCCAGAAAGCTGGCTCTTCACATAATGTGTCCAAAGCAGGACACATGTGTGCCTTAAATAAGAACTCTTGAGTTGATGTGTTTGATGATCCGTTGGTTTCTTTTCTGGACTGTCCACAGTATTCTCGGGAGAGAGACACTGGAATAAACAAATTTCTTTGCCTGAAGGGAAGTGGAGTTACAAATTTTCAGTGGGGGGTACATGATGGTGGCAAAATAATGCAGAATTCTCTTCTTGGTCACCTAATGGTCAGTTATTTGCAGTCCAGCTATGTAAATCCTGGAATAGTTACCTCAATTGAAATATATTGTGTCAAAAGAAAAATAATCCTGCACATGTGAAGCATCCTATAAAGATATTAGAATAAGACTGACAGTCTAACAGATTGGGCATACTGCAGATCCTGTCAGCCACAGAGTGATGACTGGTAGGAACTAGAAAATGAGCTTTTTCTGCTGCAGCCTCTGTCTAATGGAATATTCTCCCTTTAGGGATTAAAATGGTCCCAACCCTGTTGGCTTTTCCCAAAGTTTTAAAAACCTGACTATGTACCAGGGCCTGGGGCTCGGAAAGCATTAAAGGCCCTGTTATTTGACTTTACTATTAGTTCACAGCTGCTGTTTATTCATTTTGTGGATATTTTTTATTGTTTTATTGTTGTTTTTTTTTCACTGTTTTATAATTTTAGAATTGTAAGCTGCCCAGAATCACTTGGTTCAGTTGGGTGGCTAGAGAAATGAAATAAATAGTCCTCAACATTTGCTCCGAAATAAAAAAGGAATTGGTCTCCGATGGCAAGTGTGAGTGTGAAGACAGGGGAGGGAAAAGCTTTCTCATGTGGTGGTAAATGCTTTCAGATAAGAAACCCATTGAGTATCCTTGGAGAAATGCCACCTTTTAGTCTCTCCTTTCCTTCTTTTCAGTAATTGTGCAAATTGGGAGGGTGTTAGAAAAAATTTACTTTGAGGAAATAATAACACAGCATTATCTGTTTCTCAAGCTTGGCAGGTTGAGATATGTGGACTCCAATTCCCAGAATTCCGCAACTGGGAAAGGTTGGGTAATGAAGATGTTTTCTTCCATTCTTTGTGTGAACCTTTACACCATGTTCCCCTTCTGCCTTTAAAGCAGAGATATTAAAACGGTAATGGGATTTACCTGTCGACCACAGATATCAACTACAACCATACCCAGCTTTAAGTGCTCTGGTGTTCTCAAAATGTTTTCCATCTCTAGAGAGGCTTGTTGGCGTGACTTGTGGCAAAACCAAATGGACTCTCCCAGGCAAAACTCATGAAGCCAGAGACCCAGGGGTGAAATGCTCCCGGTTTGGACCGGATCACCTGATCCGGTAGCGATGGCGATGGGTGATTTGGAGAACCAGTAGCAAAAATCCCTGCCCCACCCCCTATGCCCAGCTGAGCCGCGTGATCATCAGAGGCTGGTTTTTTTACTTTTAAAAGCATTTTTTCTACAACTTCTTGGGCCGAAAAAATGCTTTTAAAAGTAAAAAAAAAAAAGCCTCTGATGATCGTGCGGCTCAGCTGGGATCATCAGAGGCTTTTAAAAGCATTTTTTCTACAACCTCTTCGGCCAAAGAGGTTGTAGAAAAAAAAATGCCTTTAAAAGCCTCTGGTGATCCCAGCTGAGCTGCCTAATCGTCAGAGGCTTTTAAAAGCATTTTTTTCTGCAAAAAATGCTTTTAAAAGTTAAAAGGAAAAAAAAGTGGCCACGCCCACCCAGTCACATTACCTCTCCCACCAAGCCACGCCCACAGAACCGGTAGTAACAAATTTTAAATTTCAGTCCTGCAGAGACCTACCTCAACTGCTACATCCTCAAGATCTCATTAAACTGTTATTGCAAGTTATTTTGCAGTTAGGAAGAAATGATTGGCTTCTCAATCTCTCTTCTTTCTCTCTCCCAAAGGTTTAAAATCTCTACTTGGAAAGTCAATAAAGAGGAAGGAATGTTTCCATTCAATATAATTATGGTCCAAGAATTAATGCCAATGTTATTGAATTTGATTATTAATGCAGCCCATGGACAGAATCTAAATTATCTGAGTTGTAATAATTTTAAGGCAAGTAGGTATAAACTGCTTGAACTAGGCATGCCTATCTCCAATATGTGGGCAAGACCAAGATAAAGAGATAGTTGCATGCGACAATGGTGAATATTGACGTAGATTGTAGATGTAGAAGATTGTGGTATTTAATTGACCTTAAATTTAATTTATATAGAATCAATTACATGCAATAAAAAGGATTTCTTTTCATGTATTTATGAATCTCTCTTTTCAAACATGTTAAAATTTTAAATTTTGGAAAGGCTCTAAAGGCCTCCCACCAAAGTTGTTGGGAAGAACATGTAGTCCTGTGGCTGCAGATTGGACTTGGTCTGTAAAGAATTAGGACAGGTTATATTGGGTTTTTTTTTTAATTGCTCCTGAAAGAGGAGAGAAAGTTAGTGATTGGTCTAATCTTTAAAGGCAAGAAGCTAGGAGATAGGACAATATTATTAATACAATTGAAGGTTGTTATTAGCACCTATAATTCCTCCAAATATATGTACTTGTTAAATCAGCTTAGTGGCCTCCTTAAGTGATAGACTGATGAAGATTCTTTTGCTGGGCTTCCTGTCAGTTGAGAGGACCCCATTATAAAATGTTAACACATTGTGTTATGCTGTTACGGATATTTTAAGAAGAGATTGGACAACCACTTGTCTGAAATGGTGTAAGCCAAGGTTTCCTGCTTTTGAGAGGGGCGGGGTTGAACTCCAAGGTCCCTTCCCAATCTTATTCGGTTATTCTGTTTGTTTCTCTGAAAAAAACTGAACTAGTATCTCAAGGGATAATGCTGCCCCACAATTGGTCAAAGAGGTACAGAAACATTTTGGTGCCAAGACACCTAATCACGTATGGGATTGTAGCAATCCTGTAATTGGAAATTACACTTTTGAGTATTCATTTCCAACCGAAACATAGCCTGCAAATTAAGTACAGTAAATAAAAATATCTTGTCCAATGCAGATAATTACAGCATCCATTTCTTATAGATACTATAAGAACTATGTTGAAATCATAGTGGTAGGTTACATTCTGGATTTCTTTTAACAGCATAGAGCACGGGTGTCAAACTCAATGTTTTTTGCCTTTGCAGAGCCAGGGTGGGCGTCAGTGGTGGGTTTCAAATTTTTTTCCTACCGGTTCTGTGGGTGTGGCTTGGTGAGCGTGGTGTGGCTTGGTGGGCATGTCTTGGTGGGCATGGCAGGGGAAGGATACTGTAAAAGGAAGAGCCTGTAGTACAGTGGACTAAAGCACTGTAATTAACATCTTGCTGCTTGCAAATCTCACCAGGCTCAAGGTTGATTCAGCCTTCCATCCTTTCAAAGGTAGGTAAAATGAGGACCCAGATTGTGGGGGCAATAAGCTGACTTTGTATAAATATACAAAAGTATGAAGGCTATTGCTTAACGCATTGTAAGCCGCCCTGAGTCTCCGGAGAAGGGCGGCATATAAATTAAAGCAAAAAAAAAAATCTCCATTCCCTCCCCACTCCAGGGGAAGGTTACTACAAAATCTCCATTTCCTCCCGATCAGCTGGGACTCGGGAGGCAGAGAATAGATGGGTAGAGGCCAGTCATAGGTGGTATTTACCGGTTCTCCGAACTACTCAAAATTTCCGCTACCGGTTCTCCAGAACTGGTCAGAACCTGCTGAAACCCACCTCCGGTGGGCGTGCTTGCATGTGATGCATCCAGCCTACTGGCCACCAGTTTGACACCACTAGCATAGAGGAATGATGGACTGAAAGTGGATGATATTCATCAGTTCCCTTCTCACAGTCCATTTTTGTTGGCATTTTGACTGTGCAGGGCTGAAGGACTAAGTTTACACGTATAGGCAGTCTCCTTTATCGACTGTTCACTGTTCAGTTACTGTTTCATCCCATATAAATGGGATTAAAACCATAACTTCGTGACCAGTCTATAAACCAAAGGAAAGCTGAAATAAAAATGTGATGTT